CTTCCTAGCCCCAGAACACCTCGAATAAACCTAACAGACTTTGGCCTATATGGAATTAACCTTCTTTCTGTCTGTGTAGGTCTAGCCAAGCTGTGGAAGGCGTGCCCATCTCCAAAGGTGGTAGTGGGTGCTGAGCAGACAAGTGGCTCAACAGGCGGCACCTGTGAAGAACAGACCTGGTGGTTGCTTGGTGGCTTTGCTCTCTTTCTATGTCGATTTTTGATTATTAAAAACAAAAACCCAAACCCTAGATTAATAGAGAAACAATAGAAGATTCCTACTAAAGATAGGAGGGTGACAAATGGACATCATTATTACCACTGCTATTTAGTTTCATAATAGAAGTACCAGCAAATGCAATTATAAAGTTATGAATGTTGGAAAGGAGGAGGTAGAACTGACGCTGTTGGCAAATGATTGGATTGTGCACTGGATTCAACTGAGAACTTAAGACAAACAATAGGATTCAATAAAGTAGTGGGGAGTGAAAAATATATAGAAATAAATAATGTATATGTAAAATATATGTATATATTGTAACACATATTTGCTAAATAAGGAGGACCTGTAAAAAAGTGTATTTTCAAAGTAGATTATGTGCTCTCTTTCTGGAGAGTGAATATATAACACACCGAACTCAGCTACATTTGCATTATGAGTTTGACTTTTCAGAATCCTAAGAGAGCATACTAATAATACACAGAAAGGCACAGTGCAAAGTATATTTTAATGGTTCACCTAAGTCTTCACTTGAAATGTCTTATAACACAGACTGTTAATGCCAAAAAAGTAATCACCCAGGAAGAATTTATAATGAAATATAGACTAAATTGAAGTGTTTTCAGTTAGATACAGCAATGCAATGTATTGATTCTTTGTTTTCATAGCCTAGATTTTTTTTAACGTTTTGTCAATTGTTTAAAATATTAAAATTTGCTTTAAAACAACCCTTTAATTTGGAGCAATAAGCCTCTACTCCTCACAGGAGAAATATTTTTTGCAGAGGCAGTTGTTTTGAAAGATGATTACCATTTCTCTGCTTTAAGCTCTTTGCTCTTTGAGCAAAAGTTGTGGTGCATTTCTTTAGTAGAGCTGTGTAGGCAGTTAAAAGTCAGGACTCATTCATTTGAAGAGCTGTTTACAGACCATTTGGCTATAAGGCCTGGGATGAGGGTGTGTATATTTAGTATTTTGGAAAATCCCAGGGTGATTGATTGGTTTAGTTATGTCTGTTGTGTATGTGATATATTATTTATATTTTAAGACACAAGTAAATAATTGTTCTTTCATTCCTAGCTCAATAGGATAGAAAGAAATGTGGCTTTCCACATCCTTTGACATCTAAGTTTATCAACCAAACTTAAAAGTAGGAAATTAGAAGGGAATTTGTTTCCTTTTTAAGATACGAATGGGAAAAGAGAACTATATTAGTTTCATGCTAAGCATCCAAGACTCTGTATCTGCATCTCACCTTTATCTTCTAATGTAATTTAAACTCAACTCCTAAGACCCTGATTCAAGGAAAATACTATCAGTGCCTGTCTCTGAGCTCTGAATTTTCCAGTCCCTGGGCTTGGAATGTGGAGGAGATGAAAGAAAACAGACTTGAGAATATGCAAACATGAACTCTTCCCCAGAAGAACATCACCCAGAACTCCCCCAGCTCCTAACTTTCACTTTAAAACTTGCTTGATGCTTTGTCTGAGTTTTGGCTCATCTTAAGGGAGCTTAGATGTTAGTAGCTATTACTACATGCAGGTAGAAAAGAGACTAAAATGCCTACTTGAAAGAAAACTCTGGTCTTTTATCTCACTGGGATGATTTTATGTTTAATGTGCTTCTTAGAATAGTAGGGTACAAATTAGAGATTAAAGGTATGTATATGAGACTAGCCCTAGATGTTCTTAAACAGGAAGGAATTTAAGTTACAACTGTCTCAGAAAGACTGTAGATGGTTCTTGAAATAGTTAAGTGTTCTATCTTATATTAATGTTTCCTTCTTTATATTCCTCAAAGTTTATTGTGTCGTAATTTATATTTAGCCTGTTGATTTTCTGTCCATTGTTAATTTCTTTACTCTTTACCATCACACACACAGACACACACACACACACAGTTTTTTTTCCTTCTCTGTTTGAAGAAACTTTGGAAGGAATGAGAAACCAATACATCTTGGGGGGGTAGAGGTTGCGTGAGGTGATAGAAATTGGGTATATGGGGGGTAGCCTATTGCAGGGCTTGGAGAGACTGTTGACCATAATCTTTTCATATTACCAAAAAGTTAAACCATATGAATATATTACTAATATAAAATATTAAAATAAGGTGGTCCATGATTATTGTTTTAAGTAATATGTGCTCATTGTAGAGCAAGTTGAAAATATAGGAAAGCACAAAGAAGAAAAATTATCACCAGCAATCTCAACCACCTAGAGATAACATCTCTGTTATGTTTTGTTATAGATTGTCTCAGCCCAAAAGAAAATGTGTTTATATATTCAAATTTATACATTTTGACAAAACAATTTATGATATTTTGTAACCTGCCTTTTAAACTTTAACAATATATTGTAAATAATCTTCCAGATCCTTAAGTATTTGCTTCCCTTTTTTTTTTTTTAATATATGTTTTGTGAGGAAGATCGGCTCTGAGCTAACATCTGCCAATTCCTCTTTTTTTGCTGAGGAAGACTGGCCCTGGGCTAACATCTGTGCCCATCTTCCTCCACTTTATATGGGACACCGCCACAGCATGGCTTGACAAACAGTGCGTCAATGCGTGCCTGGGATCTGAACCGGCGAACTCTGGGCCGCCACAGCGGAGCGCACGCACCCAACTGCCTGCGCCACTGGGCCGACCCCTGCTTCCTTTTTTTAAAATTGCTGCATGGTGTTCTATCATATTGAAATACTTTATTTAACTAGTTCACTATTGTTGGGTATATAGATTGTCTTACTTTTCTTTGATATAATTCCTTGTAAGTAAATCTGCACACATCCATAATAATTTCTAGTCGTAGAATTGCTGAGTCAAAGACACAGAGTTATTTTTAAGGCACACTCCGATTGCCTCCTGGAACAATTGTACTCATTTACACTCATTGTGGTGTATGAGAGTTTCCTTAACCATGGCTACATGAGACTGTCTAGGTGACCAGCCATATACTTGTTAATTTATTGCAGTATAATAGATAAAACCTGAAGGTGGGGCAACTCCCAGATCCATGGTTGTGGGAAGAAAACAATTTGGGGCATGAAAACTAATTTTATCTTATGCCCAGTATATGATTGGCATCAGGCTGTGGTAGGTATTTAGCACAATGAAGTTTGGGATTTTTGGATATCAGGTTGCTGGGCTTGGCCATGATGAATGGACTTCTTGCTCTCTACGTTGAAATCTTTTCTGCTGATAGATTCAATTGTGTTCTGCCCACTGGCTGTCCTAGCATTCTGTTAATGGAGGGATGTGTAAAATGGAACAGTTGCTATGTTGAAATATGCTTAAAAGTTGATGTCCAGGGCCAGCCTGGTGGCGTAGTGGTTAAGTTCAGTGTGCTCTGCTTTGGCGGCCTGGGTTTGTGGGTTCAGACCCCGGACATGGACCTCAATCACTTGTCAAGGCATGCTGTGCAGGGACCCACATACAAGATAGAGGAAAGATTGGTACAGATGTTAGCTTAGGGCCAATCTTCCTCAAGCAAAAAGAGGAAGATTGACAACAGATGTTAGCTCAGGGCCAATCTCCCTTCCGCCTCCCCACACCGCTCCCCCCCCCCCCCAAAAAAAGTGGTTGTCCAACGGAATTTATTAAAAGATGAGAGATGACTAAGTAGCCTACACACTTGGAACCCAGAGAAAATATTGCACAGTATTTAATTGCCTTTTGAAATGTTTACTGAGCATCTTATTTCAATGTGCAGAAGTACTGTGCTGGCATATCATACTGTGTTGGCACACTGGTAGTTCTGTGAATTTCTCTTTTGTATCTTGGGAGAGAATGGAGAGAAGAGGCTTGGCAAATAATTGGCAAGAAAAGCAAACAGTTACAAGTCTATTAACAATGCAGCTTTGTTTACTCTTTGCCTATCTGGATTTCTGAAACTGGATTCCTTAGCTCTGTTAACTAGTTAGCACAAGAGCACTCCTTTCGTTTAGGGTGCTTGGAATTGTAAGCATGCTGGAGAGAACATAATCATGTGTATCTTAGTTGGATGAGTGCATCTTGTCACTGTTAGGACTTGGTGGTGTAAAGGGATTAATAATGAGAAGTGAGCTGGGGATGGTTTATCAGTGGAAGCTCTGGAATTGGTTCTTAGGTCTGTTTGTGTTATGGGCATTTCAGAGTGGAGAAGTTACAAAAGAAAAGGCTGTTACTCTTGAAACCTGAAGTGTGCTAGTCACAGTTTTAACATTTTTTATTTGTAAAGCAAAGGAGCAAAGACTGCTTCATTTAATGGATAGGGCCTTGGTTACAAGCAAGATCTACTTTTATTGTTCAGGCTCTTTGAAAGAGTATTACTTCGGAGTGGTATCTATTTTGTAAAATTTAAGTGACGTTGTCATTTCACTTATTTTTTGGTTATGATCTGTTAATAAGTCTTACATTTTTATTACAAGAATGAACCAGGCCCTGGAATATGAGAATACTTTTCTTCTAATTTTAACAGTTTTGAAAGAGTCATTTTATTGGGAACAGTGAGGAGAACCAAGGGCAAAATTTAGTATATCATCCTTGTTACTGAGGGAACAGAGGAAATGTTTTAAGAAGTCATATATCTGGTTTGAGGTGTTTTTTTTTTTGCTCATAAACAAAGTGTTATAAGCTTGCTGTGGATATTGGGCAGATAACCTCCCCCCTCTCATTTTGACTCTCACTTTTGTTTTTCTCTTGTGAAATATTTCTTTGTGGTTATCAACGAAAGCATGATGAAAATTAACTTTCAGTAATTAAAATGTTAAGTTCTATCATCTGCTTAACATCTGAATTTTTTTGTTTTCAGCATTGGTTGGATGGTACAAAAAGCATCAAAAAGCAAGTAAAAAGTAAGTGGTGAGAAAATTGTAAATTGAATTATTATGTGTAAATAGAAACTCTGGTTCTTAATAGTAAGGACATAAGAAATCATGTTTCATGTGAATTTCTTAGCATCTCTGCTTTCTAAAAATAATTTGAGTCTGATATATATACCCCTCCCCTAAGCTATATAGGATTAATGGAGATCTAGATTCAGGTGCCTTACAGTTTGTTTCCAGGAGAAAGGCTTGCAGCTTGCAAATGAGATTGAGTTCCCATGAGATGCTTAACTTTTATTTAGTAATTGCTTATGTTGGAATTTTCCTCTTAGGCATCTGCCCTACTTCAGAAAATATTTTGAGACTTTAAGGCTGTAACATTTTAAAATAAAGAATAATGAAGTGAAGCAATTCACGTTAAATGTCAGTATTATTCCTAGCAGTAGTTGGGGGAAAATACCAATGTCCAATCCATAATCTAGTTTGTCCTCTGTAGTAACAGAGATTTCAGGGTACCTCAAGTCTTGTCTTTTGTTACAAAGTAATGGGACCACTGAGAGTATAGCGGTTAGTGAAGTAGGTGAGGTGATTTGGAAAGTGTGTGGCAGCATTTGCCATGAGCAGTTAACATAGGCATTCCTCCGTGCTTTCAAGAAATACAGCTTGACAGGTTTTTAGAGTTGTTAATTGCACAGTCAAGACTTTTATTTGATGCATTTGGCCCTGAACTATTAGAACTAATCTAGCGCTGTCTATTCTTGGGAGGACAGATGATTGTGATAGTATACTTATGTATGATGGTACGTTAACGTCCACTGATTGATTTTTTTGTGTTAGGTTTAATTAAGCCTACAAAGTAACCTGAAATATTGCCACAGTAACCTGTTATCTTCTGCTTCCACTTCAGTAGATTTTTAACAAATTTACTGGCTCAAAATTCTTACTATTTAAATAGTTATATAAAAAAATTAAAGTTTTTTTTTTTTTTTTTAAATGGCAGTTGGGTCACCATATTGTCTGCATCTTCGAGTTAAATTTTATTCCTCAGAACCCAATAATCTTCGTGAAGAGCTAACCCGGTAAGACCACCATCTAGAGTTGTACAGGGGTAAAGTTTTGGTCAGGCTAGCTTAAGATGTTGGAAGATTGTCTTTTTAACTCTTTCCAGTTTATAGACAGCTAATGAAATGGATTCCTTTCCCCTGGTAACAAGACCTTAGACAATAATTTCATTTTGGGGCAGAGTTTTTTATGTGTAGGATTCTTTTCCTTGTCGGTTTTCAAAATAGAGTTGATTCCCTAGCATCCACCAAAGGTAACTAGTGAGTTCTTTTTTTAAGGGTCATTCTTAACTCATGGATATTAAACAGGGCTGAAGTGTTTCAATACATTCCCATATTATGTTTATTGATGTTCAAAATGATCTATCTTTGGCCACTGGGAGTTTATTCAGATTGGCTCCTGACTTTCTTTACCTATTGAAGTGCCATTGATTAATGAAAAATGTTAGATCCTGATTTGGTCAATAGTTTTGAGTAAACTTAGGTAGGTCATACATACTTATTTTTATTTTGTCCTGCCTCCTTGATATTTATTCATTGACTATATTGTAAATCCATGACTCATGTACACATACTATTTATTAAGTAAAAAACTGAGTTGCTAAGTCCCGTTAGAAGGGTTTTCTCTTGAACACTCTGCTAGTGAGATTATAGCTGTTATCCATCGTAATAAACGTGCCTGTATCCCTTCACATATGAGGTGGCTGTGTTGTCAGATTAAGTTAAATCAGATCACAGAGCTCATTCTCAATAATTTGCTTTAAACCTTTTCTCTTAAGGTGGCTATACTGTACTCTGTGGTCTGCTGTTCCTTGCTGTTATCTTGTGGGAATGCTACCATCCTTTTGATGCTTATTGCTTCTTTTTCTGTATTCTTTTTTCTTTACAGACTCTATTGTGGGTAAAATTCTATAATTAAGAATGTTTCTTCTCTAATTAGAAGGGATTATTTTTCACAGTAGATTTGTTCTGTTCAGTTAAATTTGTGCCTTTTATTTTTCTTAGATATTTATTTGTTCTTCAGTTAAAACAAGACATTCTCAGTGGAAAGTAAGTATTAGTTATTGAAGGTAAACTGCATTTTCTTGAGTAGTTGAAAATGATTTTGAAAATAAGTTTATAGTTAATTATGTAAAATAAATGGTCAACATAAAATATGTATTATTTCCATTTATCTTAAAATGAAGGTTGTGAAATTGACTTGTCTAACAAATTTGTATTTTGGTCTCAGATTAGAGTGTCCCTTTGATACAGCGGTTCAGTTGGCAGCTTATAATCTGCAAGGTAAGCAGTTCTTATGTTGACTATCAAGAGTAAAGCATAATTCTTTTTTGTGTGTTTTTAGTTAAGGAATTCCAAAAGTTTCAAAGTAATGTACAAGAAAAGAAACACTATTGTTTTTGTGTAAATTTGTATCAATATCTAACTCTGACTTTTACTTTCACTTGTTTTAGAACATTGCCTGCTTTTTCTTTCCTTTCACTTTATTTGCCCCCTTTCCATCTCTAGTTTTGTTTGTTTTCCAACAAAAATTACAGTCTGCTTGATAATTCAATAAACGTTATAATTGGACCCTCAGCTAATTTTTTTTTCTTAAAAAGAATGCAGTAATGGATGAGTAAATTGTTGCAATATCCACATGATTTGCTTTTGTTTGTTATTCTTAAAAATGAATCCATGAAAGAAATACTTAGAGTGTATTTAAAAGTTCCTGGTGGTTATGTTAAGAATAAAAAAAAAGTGTTTTCCAATAAATGAGATTAATGAAAAACTTACTCTTTTGTACCTTGTTACACTGATACTGATCAAATACTGTTAAACTTAGGTATTTTATTCTGAAAAGTTGACATTTTAGGAAAACTGTAATTTCTTTCCTTGTTCACAAAATGGAAAGAAAGATTCTGTTGGAGTTTCTGTATATACTAGAATAAAAATAAAAATAATATTTAATGATATGAAGATATTAATTTATACTTTTTTTGGCAATTGCATATTTATCCCCAATCCCTCTAAGATCAGTAGTATTTATTTGCCATTGTCTAGATATTAATAAGACTAAATTTTTACATTTTATGGTAAACCTATTATTTTTGCTTCTTTTGTGCTTCTACTATTTAAGAAAGCATACTTTCCTGTTGATTAGAGGGATTGGTAACTGGAGGTAATTTCGGCACTCCAAAAATTTGCCTTTAGTGTAAATTATCTACCTGCTTCCATCTACTATTCTAGTCTGTCTACAAATTAAAACTTGTTTTCTGATCTGCAGATTGTCAAATAGATACTAGCTTGCAAATGCTGCGCATCTGGCATTGTAATGATCAGAAGTGTATAATTGCATGCATATTTTCTTGAAAGTAGACTTTTACATTTTATTCCTGTATGAGGTTGTTAATTCTAAAGCTGTCAGATATACTGAAAAGCTGTCATTTTCAATATCTGTCTTACATCATTTATTGCCTCATATATTCTGTCTGTGTCTCTTTGTGTAAGTTTCATGACAGCCAAAGTATATGCTGTGTGGTGTTTATTTAACAAAACGCTATTCAAAGTAGTGGTCACTAAATAATTAGTGGTTTGATTGAAAGCCGGCCAGTGGCTCTATTCTGTTGTCTCTTAACCCTACGTATCATATTTTTTTCCTAAGTAAAAGCTCTTTACTACTTTCTCTTTCATCCATGGCACCATTAGGTTTATGATTCCTCCAATCTTCATGTTATGTCCTATGCATCTCTTTGTCCCATGTCTAATAGTTTACCAAATCCTACTAATTCTTGAGGTCCTTAAGAATAAATTTGCTGAAGTTTTACTCCCATCTCTATAAAATGAGCTCCTTGTTTCTCATTTATGATTTTATATTTTATCAGAATAATTTTTATCAACTTTTTCTCACACGTTCGAATTCAGTTTTTCTTTACCATTTTAGTATATATCCTGAACAAGATTATGTAGCGGATTTGGTGTGTTCCTTAAAGATAGTGTGGTCCAGACAAAAGAGTAATTTCTTTATCACTAAAGTGGGCATGACAATAAATATTTTCCAAGCTTGTTGTGAAGTTAAATGACTATATATCTGTAATATGTCAGATTATTATTTTTATTATATGTATTTTATATATATTATATATTTTATATATGTTTTAAAATATATATGTTATATATTTTTATTATCTCAAGATAGTTGTCATGTATTTTTTCTCTGCACAGCTAGATTTTTTTATCATAATGGAAATATTTTAATTTTTTAATATTAGTAAAATATTCTTTTAGAGGAAAAATTTCTAAAGTATAGAAAATTAAAATTGTTGTTTTCCCTTCTTCCCTAAACCCACAGTTCAGAGATAACCACAGATGACTGCATGTTTGTGCGTTGTCCAGTTCTTTTCCCACCTCTTTCCTTCCTCAATATCCTTTAGTAATTTTTTTCAGTTATTTCTTTAGGATTAATAATTTAAAATTCCAGGAGGACAGAGATGATATCTTACAGTGGTATATGATGATGATGTCATGTTCTGTGCATATTCGATTCTTAATAGATGTCAGCTAATTGTTTTTTAAGGATTGCTAAATATTTTTGTTTATTCATTATAAGATCAAAAGATATTTCTCTGTGGAAGTCTAGAAAGAAGTTTTCAAAAGCTAGGCATTATAAGGTATGAATAAATTAAGAGAAAGACGTTTAATTGAAAATGCACCACTAACCACAAATATGTGATTTCTGTGTACAAACAGATAAGTCATAAGACTAAGCTAGATTTATTCTTGGGAATGGTCTGGGTGTTATGAATTCCTGGTAGTTTAAGAAAGAATCTTTCTTATTCTTCTTAGCAATTTTTACTAATAAAATGAGTTTTGAAGAAAGATTCAGCAGGAAATAAACTTACTAACAAAATGTAATGTTGTGGAACTTATGTTTGTAGCTGAACTTGGTGACTATGATCTTGCTGAGCATAGTCCTGAGCTTGTGTCTGAGTTCAGGTTCGTGCCCATTCAGACTGAAGAGATGGAGCTGGCTATTTTTGAGAAATGGAAAGAATACAGGTACTTAATATTTGATCATATTAACATAACCACAGTAATGACTTCATATTTGTTTTCTTCTATTTCTATACTTGGTATAGAATTCATTTTACATTTATTATTTTAAAAATTACTATTTTTTAAATTTCAGAGGTCAGACACCAGCACAAGCTGAAACCAATTATCTGAATAAAGCCAAATGGCTAGAAATGTATGGGGTTGATATGCATGTGGTCAAGGTAAGCACTGTTTTGTGATGCTTTTTAAAAAATTTATTCCTTCAAGATTCAAGGTGACTGGAATTTTTCAATATGAAGGAGGGTATGGAGTTTGCATAGTTTAGCACTGGGTATTTTGCATGTGTTACAGAGGTTGAGATTAAATACTGAGTGATGAGAATCTCACATAAAGGTTCATTATAAGAAAGAAGAAGAACAACCAGAATCTCTAAAAAGGATGTCTGTGCTTTTAAGCTCTTATTATTTTCTTTTTAGTTTTTTAAACCACTTCTTATTCTTTCATTTCATATTTATATCATCTTATATCACTTAAGCTGAGTAGGCTCTGTAAAAAAGAGTTTAGAAAGCTAGGTTGAAAACTTATAGCTTGAGAGGACTTTTTAATCTGTAGTATAGCTTGTGTAACGTTTTAAGTTATTTCTAGTTGAAATAGCTAAATTTTCCCAGAAAGGCAGTCTTTTTCAAAATTTGTGATCTAAGTGGTGAATAGAATATGGGAAGAATCTGGAAAGAGCTTTCTTTGTAGTGGAAGTATACTTACTTATTTTCAATGGCTCTGGTGTTGCAGTGAACTAAATGTATGCATGAATTTTCCTGAGAATGTTATTTTAGATATTCTTAATTGTTGAAAATACCTTGCATATTAATATTAGTCTGTGAATGATTAATATAATTCAACGTGAAAGTATAATTAAACAGTTGTGTGAAAATGTGAAACCTGTTTCATGCAAATAAAGCTAGCACATTTTTCTCTCCTTTACATTAGGCTAGAGATGGGAATGACTATAGCTTGGGACTAACCCCAACAGGAGTCCTTGTTTTTGAAGGAGAGACCAAAATTGGCTTATTTTTTTGGTAAGCACCATTAATCTCAAAGATACGTATTGTTGTTTTGTTTTTTTAATGAGTCAAAACATTTATATCAAGTTATTACATAGCATAGAGTTGGGATATCAAATAGTTCTGAAAAGCTTGTAAATGAAAAGCAACTGTTTCCTGTCAGACTCCTGTCTTGAGTCCCACCCCTCAGAGACAATTTTTAAACTTTTCTATCCATGTTTTCCGTTAGTTTCAAGGTATGTCAGAATACGTCTTAATATAAGTGTTTCTATATGTATTAAATGTTCACATGGGCACTTTCTCCTGTCATGTAGTCATGTCACTAGTTTTAGTATTTCTTGTTCCACAGTCTCATTACTCTCTACTCCCTGTTGTGTAAGAGAAAGATATTAGTACTTTTACCTCTCCTTTTAAGCTGTGCTTCTCTTTTTTTGTCCCCACTTCTGCCATCCATACTTTTAAATTAAATTTGCGTTTTACTTTTACATCAAGGATAGATTTTACTTGGATTTCATAACCATAGTTAAGTTCTTCAGGTTTTGTCTGGTCAGTTCTAAAATCTGAAAATCAGGAAACAGTGTTTACATTGTTATGTCTGTGTCAGAACTGGTACAGAGCTTAGTAGTGTACTGGTGTTATATGCTTGAGCTGAAGATGGCCCCTGTATATTGGCCCAGATGTGGTTTACTTCTTCACAGCACATTAGGACTGTTAGCTCAAAGCCCGCCAGGGCCAAACTCAAATTCTTACACATCCAGTTACTTGAAATATGGCCCAATAAATATATTTTTAGCCATTTAGAGCCTGCCTGGTTTGCACATCCCACTGCACCCGACATCTGCTAGCCATAGATAAGAGAAATCCTGTAGCTATAAAAGACTGCAAACCACTAATGCCCTTCAGAGCTCTCTGACCCAGAGACTCCCCCTTGCTGCTGAATGCCATCACCTAGACACATAATAAGCCACATCTCTCCTGGGAGTTCCCTTGTCCTATTCTCCTTTGTGGTGGCCCTGTGCTGCCACCTCTGGAAGGTCTCCTGCTGTGAAGGACTTCCCCTCTCATGCGATCCAGTCTGAACACCTCTGAATAAACCTCACTGTGCAATACTGCTATCTCATGGTCCTATCTTTTTCTTGATCAGCCCTGAAATCCTTGAACTCACAAACAGGATTGCATTTCCTTTCTGTATAGCTTTTTTCCTAAAGTTCTTGACTCACCCCCAATCTCACGCACCCCACACACCCCTTTAATTACCTGCCTTTGTCTTCTCCAGAAGTTCTTTCAAATTCTCAAGGGTTGCATTAAATGAGTCTTCTTTTCCAGTTGGAACTGTTAGCTCTCCAGGCTTCTCTACAGCTTTTATCTTGGGACTTCCCTTTTCCTGTGTTCTCAGCTAGGATCCTGTGTCTTCTTCCTATATTTTCCTCTTTCTTTGCTTTTGTTTTTCTGGTGTATATCCTCAAGAAACTGCCTAAGAAAAAGATGTAGGAGGTAAATTATTTGAATCCTTGGATACCTTAAAATGGTTTAGTCTTCTCTTATGTTTTCTTGATAATTGGGCTGGGAATGGAATTTTAGGTTGAAAATTATTTCTCCTCAAGAAGTTGAGGATAGTATTTCATTTATTTTTGCATCCAGGTGTCCCTGCAAGGGACTCTCTCAGACTTGAATGGAACACCTTTATAATTTTCCCTTGATAGGTGAGGGAGCTGAGTATATATTTACCCAGTCCTGGAGTGTCAGTTCTTTCACAATTCCAGCTTGCTCTGAGGGCAGATGGAACAGGCTTCATGGCCAGAGAGTGCTCTAGGCAGAGAGATAAGAAAGCATCTTTTGTACCACCTCATAAGGTTGTTGTGAGAATCAGTTGAATTAATGCATTAATACATGTAAAAATATTTAGAAGAGTTCTTGACACTGAGTGGGCATTATGTAAGTATTTGTTACAGTTAAATAGGTGCTAGACCCTCTGCTCCTCCTCTCCCTATTACGCTTATTTACTTATTGTTTTAGTACAGCTCTTGTAAACAAGTTATGTTTTAGAATCATATTTTATATATTTAAAAATTAGTGAGAGTTGCATTGTTTTGACATTCACAGTTTATAGAAGTACAGAGTTCAAATGTGGTAGATTGTTTAGGATTTTAGTACAGGTGGGAGATAGAGTTGGAAAATGGGCCATAAAGTGAGGTTTTTAAAAAAAATTTTTTTTTAAATTAAAGATGTATTTCTTCAAACCACAATTGCTGTAGAAAGTAGAGTTGAAGGCCCTAATTAATAATTTGTTTTCCTTTATGCCTTGTAGAAAGCTTTGTAGTCTTTCCTGTATCCAGTCCCTGTGCTGCTGCTTTAACACTAGACCTCGAGAGTGTCTTAACCATAGTTGGGGGCCTATGAAATAGATATATGAATTTCTTCCTTTTCTTTTTTCCTTAACATTTTAACGTGTGATATATATGTAGCATCAATTTTGCTAGAGGGGTATTGCTTTTGAAATATGTTTTTTTCTGTTATCTTAACTATTTTTTAGATTGGAGGCTTTTTTGATGGGCAGTGCAAGTTATGTTTACCCTCTTATCAATTTTCAATTCAAAAGTTAGATGATTAATGTGCTTACAGTAACAACAATTTTTTTTTTAATTTAGAGGACATTTATTTGAGATCTGGCTGTTATTTTCATATTGTTATAGGCCCAAGATAACCAGATTGGATTTTAAGAAGAATAAATTAACCCTGGTGGTTGTAGAAGATGATGATCAGGTAGGAATTGTATTGCATTATTTATTTAACAATGACTATGTTACGTGGTAACTTAAGTCTCTAAAAGGGGAAATATTCCTCATTGTTTTACAGAGCCATAGAACTTAGTATAATTAATAATTTAATTAAATAATTTCCTGCTTCAAGTCACACCATCCTAAAAATATGGTTTTCTGCCCTTAAGGTTAAAGATAATGTAGAAGACTCTTCTTGTTTCTTCATTGATAACATATCTCATGTGTATAAAAAATTGTGTTTAAATGACTTTATCATTTTGGAACCTGATCAAAAAGATTAATCAAAAAGATCTGCCTAGGAATATTCTTTAATAAAGCCTTCTAAAATAAGGATTACCTTTTTTTCAGTTAAATCTAGTTCCTAATAGATACACACAGCAACATGGATGTGTCTCAAATGTGTATGCTAAGTGAAACAATTCAGACTCAAAAGATGATGACTGTGTGATTCCACTTATATGACAGTCTGGGGAAGGCAAACCTGCAGTGTGGAGAATAGATCACTGATTGTTTGGGATTAGAGGGAGTGAGGAGGCTTGACTACAAAGGAACCACACAGGGAATTTTGAGGGTGGGAACTTTTCTGTATCCTGATTTGGTGGTGAGTTGCTAGACTGTGCATTTGTCAAAACTCACAGAATTGTGAGTAAATAAAAATAATTTTACAGCATGCAAAGAAATAAATTTGAAAAACACATGTACATACTATAGATGGATATAGATAAAACGGGAATTGGGCAAAATGTTACCAAGATTGGTGGTATGCGCGGTGGAGTGTGAGAAGGACTACTTAGCAGAACTAAAAAAAGGACATTGTGAAAATTAGATGAAAAAGTGATGTTTTAAGTTTTATTACTGATATACATGCAGAGGATTGCCTTATCACACAGCTTAGAAGAAATTCATAGAGACAATAATAGAGCATTTTAAAAAGAAATCTGTTGATTTCACAGAGGATGATCATTATATCATCAACAAATGAGTTGAAAATGATTCAGAAGAGGCAGATTTTGCATGTAAAAATAATCAATTTATTTTACGAATATTTTCCTTTTTATGTAAGCATGTGGTTAAATGATATTTGTATCTAAATATAAAGGCAGTCCTTCAAGAATAAAATATAATTCTATGTGATAAGAAAATATGGTCATAATTTAATTGGTGGCACTTGTTCTTATTGGGCCATAAGCATTTTAGATTTGATCTAATACAATAGTAGCTTCTTGGATATCTTTTTGAAGGTATTTTATACATATATACAAGCAAATGTGTGTTATCAATTCCTTATACAAAAGTTATTATGCTTATAAACTGTTGTTTACTTGTCCTTTTTTAAACTTTACATTGTAACTTGGAATCTTTTTCATATCAGTACATAAAGTGCTTCTTCATTCTTATTAAGAAGAACAAAATACAACTGCATAGTATTCTAGTGTATGGATGTACTGTAATTTATTTAATCAATTCTCAGTTAATTGACATTTATTCACTGTATATACATTAATTTGTACGTTGGTAAGTATCTCTAGGATAATTTCCTGCAGTGGATTTGGTGGTTTAAGTGGTTGTGTGCATTTGTCCTGGATATAGAGAGAGACTATCAAGTTGCATTATTTATCAGTGTACAACCTGTTTCCTCAGAGGCAGTTACCACATTTTTATCTGAAAGGTGACAGTGGAATTTCATTGTAGGTCTAATTTTTATTTCTGTTATTACAAGTGATATTGGACATCTTTTTATATATTTGAGTTATTTGCATTTCCTTTTCTCCAAACTGTCTATTCATATCTTTTGCCTATTTTTCTTTTGGGTTGTTGGCCTTTTTTCTTTCAAGTTTTGCCCTTTGTCATAGAAATTGTAATATTTTATCTTATAGTTGTCTTTTAACATTACTTATCATGGTTTTTGCCATGCACTTAAGAAATTTTTAAATAGGTGAATTTATAAGTCTTTTATGGATTATGGGTTTTGTGTCATAGAAAGGTTTTCCCTACTTTGAGATGATACATTTTCCCATGTTTTTTTTCTGTGTGTAGTTTTTGTTGGTAAATTTTATTGAAGTATAACATAAATTCAGATAAGTGCAAAAATAAATGTACAGCTTGTTGAATTTTCACATATGCCTGTATGACCAGCACCCATATGAAGAAATGAAATAGTACCAGAATTATAGGATCTCCCTGTGCCCTCACCAGGTACAGTCTCCTAAGGGTAACCACTCTCCTGACTTTACCACCATTAATAAGATTAGTTTTTGCTTATATTTTGAACTTTATGTAAATGAAACCTGACTGAATGTTCTCTTTGTGTCTGCTTCTTTATTTCAGCTTCAGCCCTATTGCAGCGAGTAGTAGTTGGCTCATTTTGGCTCTTCTTGTTATATGGTATTTCTTTTTATGACTAGACCACACTTATTTATCCATCCTGCTGTTGATGGATATTTGAGTTATTTTTAGTTTTTGGCTATTAAGAAGAGTGCTGCTCTGGGGCCGGCCCCATGGCCTAGTGTTTAAGTTCGGCATGCTCCACTTTGGCGGCCCAGGTTTGGTTCTCGGGCACAGACCCACACCACTCGTCAGCCATGCTGTGGTGGTGACCCACGTACAAAATAGAGGAAGATTGGCACAGATGTTAGCTCTGGGTGAATCTTCCTCAACAAAAAAAAGAAAAAAGAAAAAGAGTACTGCTCTGAGCACTAGGATATGCTTGTGTTTGGCTTTTTGTGGGTACCACCAAACTGTTTACAAAGTGTTTATACAAGTTTACGTTCCCACCCACAGAGTAAGAGAGTTCCATTTGTTCTTTTTTTTGCTAATGTTGGTATTCTCTTTTTCATTTTATCCATTGTGGTAGTAGAATCATTTTGTGGTTTTTAATTTGCATTCTGCTGATGACTATTTGTTTAGCACTTACAAGTATTTGGATATTCTCTTTTATGAAGTGCCTGTTCAAGTCTTTTATTCACTTTTCTATTGGGTCATGAGCTCTTTTTCTCAATGAAGAAATTCTTTATGTATTCTGGATATCAGTTTTTTGTCAGATATATGTGTTGCAAGTATTTTCTGCTCCTTGGCTTGCCTTTTGACTCCCTTAGTATATCTTTTGGATAATTAATGTAATACAGTTTATAAGTTTTTTTCTTTGTGGTTAGTACTTTTTGTGTCTTAAAATTTAAGAATCTTTGCCTGGGGCTGGCCCCGTGGCCTAGTGGTTAAGTTCGATGCACTCCTCTTCAGTGACCTGGGTTTGGTTCCTGGGCATGGACCTACACCACTCGTTGGTGGCCATACTGTGGCGGTGACCCACATACAAAATACAGGAAGATTGGCACAGAGTTTAGCTCAGGGTGAATCTTCCTCAGGAAAAAAAAAAAAAAAGAAAAGAAAGACAAGAATCTTTGTCTATATCAGGGTCATGGAGAAACTACGCATAGAGTTTATAAGTACTTTAAATGGCAAAGTAGTTTAAATGACAAAATGTTCAAAATATACTGAAAAGTACAAAAAATTATAAAACTGATACCCATTTTACTCATCTGAATTTAACATTTTTGGCATTGTTGCTTCAGAATTATGTTTTAGAAATAGATAAGTTAATAAAAATATATTTGATACTGCTAAGGTCTAATCTCCCAGCTTGTACCTTTCTTCCCTATAAGTGGCCACCATTCTTTGGGGATATCATTCTCATACTTTCTAACTTTTTCCAAATATAAACACATCATACATGGTAGAATTGTTTAAAAAGTTTGCATGGATCATATCTATGTTCGGGTTTTTTTCAGCTTGCTTATTTTACCCAAACGGATGTAGCCGTGTAGATCTAGTTCATTGATTTTTTAACCTGTATATAGTTTTCTGTAATATGAATAAACAATAGTGCCTTCATTCATTCATCTTTTATTCATTCATCTCTGTATAGTTTTTAAATATACCATTATTTACTTGATTATTTCTCTTGTTTTGGACATTTAGGGTTTTTTTTTTTTTTTAATAATTTTTATTTATTTATTTATTTTCCGCCAAAGCCCCAGTAGATAGTTGTATGCCATAGCTGCACATCCTTCTAGTTGCTGTATGTGGGACGCGGCCTCAGCATGGCCGGAGAAGCAGTGCGTTGGTGCGCGCCTGGGATCTGAACCCGGGCCGCCAGCAGTGGAGCGTGCGCACTTAACCGCTAAGCCACGGGGCCGGCCCCAAGGACATTTAGGGTTTTTTGCCCATTTTTACTATTATAAATGAGATTTTGAAGAAAATCTTTGGGTGTAAATTTTGGTGTTTAGAAAATCTTTTTCCTTGGAGAGACAGTATACCTTAGTTGTTACAAACGTAGGCTCTGGAGCCCAAATGGCTAGGTTCAAGTTCTGGTTTCCTCTCTTACTAGCTTTGTGATCTTGGGCTTAATTTCTTTTTTTTTTTTTTTTTTAATTTTATTTATTTATTTTTTCCCCCAAAGCCCCAGTAGATAGTTGTATGTCATAGTTGCACATCCTTCTAGTTGCAGTATGTGGGACGCAGCCTCAGCATGGCCGGAGAAACGGTGTGTCAGTGGGCGCCTGGGATCCGAACCTGGGCCGCCAGTAGCGGAGTGCGCGCACTTAACCGCTAAGCCACGGGGCCGGCCCCGGGCTTAATTTCTTGAGCCTCAGTTTTCTTATCTGTGAAATGGAGCTAATGATAGTATCTACTCATTGAAGTAATTCATGTGAAATCCTTAGAAAAGTGCCTGGTGAATGTAACTACTAGATTCCTGTGAGTATGATTACTATGACAAGGAATGTGGACATTTTTAAGTCTGTTGAAATATATTGCCGGATCTTATGTGAACCTTTAAATTATAATTGTACATTTATCCCAAAGTATGGCAGATAAAGCCTCATTGTATGTTTCCCTGAGCAATGAGATCACATAAGAAGAGAGGACCCTCTTAGGAATAATTTTATATTGACTAAGAAAATGGACAGCTTGATTTCAGCTCTGCCTTTTTATGTAGATAGCTGTAAAGAGTGTCTGAGTTTCAGGGAGCAAACTAGATGCATTAGTATTTGATTCTTGGTGGTGTTGTGGTTGTATTTGTAGCTAAGTGACAGGGGACAGGACTGTTTGATCTACTAATTACCTCTCTTTACATCCTTTCCTTTTTCAGGGCAAAGAGCAGGAGCATACATTTGTCTTTAGGCTGGATCATCCAAAAGCATGCAAACATTTATGGAAATGTGCTGTGGAGCATCATGCCTTCTTCCGCCTCCGAGGCCCTGTCCAAAAGAGTTCTCATCGATCAGGATTTATTCGACTGGGATCACGGTTTCGATATAGGTTAATGTTAATAATTGCTCACTATATCTTTCATTCATTTATAGAGGCCAAAAAATTTAGGCCAACTTCTCATTTTACAGATGTGAGAACTAAGGCATAGAGAAATAAAGTGGTTTGCCAGTGTTTTCCATTGGCCAAAATAAAAGGAAAAAGTGGTATTGTTATTGGTTGTAATTTCCTGAATAGACAAAAATATATTGTAATGGTGTAAAGAATTTTGTATCCCTCTTGACATTTACTTTATGTATTAATTAACACCCAATTTATTTTTTTTTTTATTTTTTTTTTTAATAATTTTATTTATTTACTTTTCTCCCAAAGCCCCAGTAGATAGTTGCATGTCATAGCTGCACATCCCTCTAGTTGCTGTATGTGGGACGCGGCCCCAGCATGGCCGGAGAAGCAGTGCATTGGTGCACGCCTGGGATCTGAACCCGGGCCGCCAGTAGCGGAGCACGCGCACTTAACCACTAAGCCACGGGGCCGGCCCTTAACACCCAATTTAAATTCATATAACAAAAGTTGTTTATATATATTTAAGGAGTCTCCATCCAACAGCTGGATACCATATACAAAAAGGATATCTTGCACTGAGTGGGAAATTAATCTGGATAACATTTCTGGTCCTTTATAAGTGTGGTTTCATTATTCTTATAGCCTCCTTGTTTGTTGGTCATAAATTAGAAATGTTTTCGTTTACCTAAGAATAGATTATTGATTGTGAGTTTTCAGCATACTGTGAGAATCAGTCAGTATGATTTAAAGAAGGAATGGATAATATCAATAAGGTGGCAAGTCAATTGTGTGGCATTCATGTAAGAGAGCTTCTATTCCACCTATATTAAAAGTTGGGAGGCATTTTCTTAACAGAATTTAAATGGAAATCAAGGAGAGTGGGACAGTAGTTTTAAATATTTCTGGAAAATTATTCTGAATGTATATTATAATTAGAAAGAGTAACTGAAAATCTTGAGTTAACTGCACACTTTGCATTGAGGAGTGTGGGTGGGGAGGGGAAGGAAGTTCCATAAAAGCGCAGATATTCCAAACTTATTTAATTTGTTTTTAGATGATGTGCATGCTTAAGGGAAAGCAATATAATTTGTGTGTTGCTTATTTCATACAAGCCTAAAGAGTGAAAAAATAATGTGGTAAAGGGAGACATCAAGACTTTTATTAGTAGTTTCTTCAGAGTAGTTCTTTTAAGAACGTCTATGTAGACTTTCTCTCATGTATGTGTATCTGATTACTGTAGGCCTCAAATTCTCTTATTCCTGTTAATATGCCTCATTTATTTTAGTGGGAAAACTGAGTATCAGACCACAAAAACCAATAAAGCAAGAAGATCAACATCCTTTGAAAGAAGACCCAGCAAACGATATTCTCGACGAACTCTACAAATGAAAGGTGAAATGCAACCGTTTCAAAGGACTGTTCCTCCTTGACAGTTCTTCCTGTGCTAGTATTGTTTACTTGAGGGGAAGTTGTCTGAATCTTAAGTCTATTCCAGTCAACTAAAGTATTTATTGAATTTTGTTTTAGCATAATCAATTTAATAAAATACAAAGGGAAAAATTGCCTGTATTATTGCTGAGATTAAACTTTATGTTAATCCCAATTCAGACACTATTCTGAGTTTGTGTTCAGTTTTTGCTCGTATTGACTATTTTAAGTCTTCTGTAGAGCAGCATTTTCCCTAGGAACTTGTAACAACATTTGTATATGATGAATAAATTTTAAGTAAAAATTATTTCATATTATAATATTATTAAGGATTCTATTAAATACAGTTTTTAAATTTAATTTTCAGTGTACATCATACATAGACATTTCCAAATTCATAAATGTTACTTGCTATTTGTTACTTTAATTATGTAATAAAAAGCATGATTTACTTTGACAAATAAACTAAAACTTGTGTTTGGTTTAGAATCTGAGTTTGTATTAAAATACAGATTGAATTTTAAGTATGTCTATTGTCAGGATCATTACCATTTGTCCAAAACAACTGCCATGATCTGATGTTTGGCAGTATCAGTTTTTTAAAAAAACTGATTTATATTCATAATTTTGAGTATGGCTATAAATCAGATAATGAAACCATTTCAATATGTGGTGGTTTAAAACCCTAAGTCACCTCTTATTTTTGGCTGGCAATGTTTCATTGTCACTCAGCTCACTCTAGGAGGCTTGCAGATGTGTCTGTTTTAAAAGAAGGGATGTATGCTTATTTTATTGCTTGTTTTAAAAATGGAAATAATTGTCATTATTGACTTTAATGATGTGAACCCTAGAACACTTGTGAAATGAAGGTTTTTAAATCTGTAGTTGGGAAACAGGGCTTACAAAGCAATGAGTCCAGAATTATTTTTATGAATAGTGAAGCAGCTTACCATGTAAGAGGAAACTAATGAAATGTTTTCTTTTTTTTTCTTCTGTCAGCAAGTACAGCAAAACCTGAAGAACTCAGGTGGGTGATGTCTTGCAACTTAGGAATTGATATAGAATGTTTTAGAATTTATGTATTCGATGTCATTAGTTCAACAGATATCTGTTGAAGACCTTATCAAAGTGTTAAGTTATCCCTAAGCATTGGGGAGAGCAAATAAACGTGGAATGCCAGATAAAATTAACACAAAGAAAAATGAAGCAATTTAGAGAAGTAAAGAGTGGAGTGGGGGTGGATGTGCTATTTATAATGAGAATGACATACATTGGTTATTGGCATGTAACTCAAGATATAAAGATGAATAAATTATGATCTTTGCACACAAGGAGCTCAAAGAACAAAGGTTGATTTGCAGATAAGCAATTAATTTTATTCCTGGGATAAACCCCACTTGGTCATGGTGTTGATCCTTCTTTATATTATATGTTTCTGGATTTTGTTTACTACTATTTTGTTGTGGATTTGTGTGTCTATATTCATTAAAAATATTGGTCTGTGGTTTTCTTGTACTGTCTTCGTCTGGTTTTGGTATCAGGGTAATAATACTAGCTTCACAGAATGAGTTGGGAAATGTTTCCTTCTCTCCTATTTTCTGGGAAGAGTTTGTAAAGAATTGGTATTCTTCTTTAAATGTATGGTAGAATTCACCATTAAAGCCATCTTGCTTGGACTTTCTTTTTGTATGAAGTTTTAAAATTCTTAATTCAGTCTCTTGTAACAGGTCTATTCAGATTTTATTTTTCATCTTGAGTCAGTTTGGGAGTTTGTATCTTTCTAGAATTTGTCCATTTCATCTAAGTTAGAAATGTTAGGGGTGTTCTGTATTTCTTAAATTATTTTATTCATTTTTTTTTTTGTTTGTTTAATGGATCATGTCTTGCTTTCCTGAAAGGGAGGCTGGGACAGAATCTTAGAGCTTAAAGTAAAGAAGATAACCTGGTGAAGTTAGCAGAAATGTAAACAGGGCATTCAGTAATGATATGTAGTTGAAAAATTAAGGCTTTTATTTGTAAGAGTTTGTCCTCCTTTAAAAATTTTTTGAAATATACATTTCTGACTAAAAAGTGAGTATGACTATGTAGTCTTTTTGTTTAGAATTAAGATTAGTTTAATAACTAAATTTTGTTGTGTCTTCTTGAGTATTGCTTTTGGCTCTGGAAAACACAGCAGAAATGGTATATTTAAGTGATGATACTTTATTATTTCTTTTATTGGAATAAGCTTTTAGAAATGAACTGTTGAGGGGGAGTCCCAGCTCTCCTTAATGTTAGTGAGCACTGCTTCTAACAGTGCTGGAGAGAACCTGAGCTTGGACTGGCATGACTGCCCTTTCATTCTTGCCGTTGTAGTTTGTTTGCCTGAACAGTTTTGCTCCAGTGAACCATGGAAAACAGTACTATTTGAAAAAGCACGACTATTTGACCTAAAAAGCTTCTTGACCTTGTACTGTGCCTATTTAAATAACAGGTTTTTAAATTGGCTGATGTCAGTCATTTTCCTTGTACTATTTTATCTCCTTCTAACGACTCCCTAGTGAGTGTTGACTAATATAAAGTATTTTAAGAAGAGGTGACATTTTAAAGGATAGTTCACATTTCAGTTATTAGTACTTTTTGTACAGCCTTAGTGGACAGAATCTTGAGGACAGGAAAGAGGAAAAGAAGAAGCGGTGGAGGAAGTGATGAATAGAGGGAGTATAAAAGCAAAAGGAGTGAGCTATTGCAGGTAGCTCTTGAAAAAGGGAATCTTGGATTAAGTCAATAATGAGAAGTGTTCATTCCTACTTTCATATTAGTGGAGGTGAAAGAATATGTATAGTTAGGAGAAAATAGTGCTTTCTACATTTCAAATTATTTGAAAATAGGGAGCCATGATTCAGTTCACATTACTTATTATAAGCACTTTTTTCTCATGTTATTATTCATCTTTTATTCATCGCCTACTTGAGTTATTCCAGTTAGAGGAAAAGCTTCAGAGATTAACCCAGGGGATCATATGGAGTAGTGAGTCTAGTTTCTGTACCAAGCAGGTTGGATAAAATTTCATTAATACTTGGGATTATGGGTTACTTAAACCAGCATAATGTATTCTGGGAAGGGCAACGTGATTAGTAAAAAGAAATCCATGCCTGACTGGTATATTCTTTACAATTAACTGGGCAACAGATCTACACTAAACAATATTTTTTGTGTGTGTGCGAGGAATATCAGCCCTGAGCTAACATCCATGCCAATCCTCCTCTTTTTGCTGAGGAAGACTGGCCCTGAGCTAACATCCGTGCCCATCTTCCTCCACTTTATGTGGGATGCCACCACAGCATGGCTTGCCAAGCGGTGCGTTGGTGCACGCCCGGGATCCGAACTGGCGAACCCCAGGCTGCCGCAGTGGAGCGTGCGCACTTAACTGCTTGCACCACGGGGCTGGCCCTAAACAATATTTTTTTAAAGTTTTTTTGTTGGTTAGTTTTATTTATCTAATATTAATTCATTTAATTCTCCTAATGGTCTCATGCAAAAGACGAACCTGAGATCAGAGAGCAGGGCTAGTGGTACAGCTTGGATTTGAACTCAAGTAATGGTAGTGCAAGTTCTGGTGACTCAGCTTGTAATAATAAAAAATAAGATATAAAATGGGTTCGCTTCTCATCACCCAGCCTCTTTAGCAAGGCCTCTTCATTCATGAGTTCTTTCTTGATTGGTTGTCTTTCATCATCAGATTGTTTTTGTTTTGCTCTCACTCCTCTAAGAAAGGCTCCTGGATGCTGTATTCAGAGTCTGTGTTTGAGAAGCTTTGCCTGTTTCCTTTTACTGGAATGACATCTTGGCTGGGTATAATATTCTTGAGTGTGGCTGTGGAGAAGTCTGTGCCAACCTGATACTGGTGGTGATTTGCCTTTAAATTTCCTTGAGGTGCCTGAAGTATTCTTTCCTTATCCTTGAAGATCAGTAATTTAACAATAAGGGATTGAATGTATTTAATTCTGTTTCTCATTTTCCTGGAGCACAGTGCTCTCATTAAATCTGTAGATTATTTTCTCACTTTCAAGGAATTTTTTATAACTTTGAGCATATTTTCAGTTACCTTAGTTGAATTCTTTACCTCAGGATGAAAATTATGCTTATGTTAGAAGGTCTGAAGTTAGTAAACTCTTTTTTTCCCTCATGTTGTTGTGGTAATATCTCATCTTTGAGTTATTTCATTGAGTATTTGTCCTTTTTTAGCTGTTCTGAGATTTGTTTCTATTTATTTTGTTGTATTATAGGTTGAGTTTTTTAAGTGCTTTTTTTGAGAGGAGGAAGGGAAATGAGTACAGCCTAAAATAAAATTTTAGAAACATATTTATAAATCATTTGGAGGGAAAGGTATACAGAGAAGTTTCTAACTTTAAGTTTATATTAAGGCCTTATGAGTTATAAAATGCTGAGCTATTGCTGACACTGGAAAATCTTGAGAGGGTAGGAATGTGCAAAGAAGTGACAGGTAAGTTTATGTGGGTATTTGTGCTTAGTGCCTTGAATTTAAGGAATCATTTGTGCTGCTATCTTTATTTTGCCATCTTTGACAGATATTGTCCAATGAATAAACAAGACTAGTAGTGAAATATATGTCTAAAGCACAATTGAAACATAAGTATATGGAAATATCAAATGAGCAGACTGTAGAAAAGGAAGTGTTTGCCTATAAAAGCAAATGTTTTCTAGGTATCTTACATTCTTAGTTTTAGGTACCAACAGTAATTTTTTCTTTATTTGATACAAAACAATTTTATGTCTTGAAAAATAAAGCTACTTTCATTAGTGTATGTATAATCTTACAATGTGAACCCCTAGAGCTTTATATATGGTTTTTTAATAGATTTTTTTCCCCACTACAGTGTTCACAGTAATGTTTCAACTCACAGTAATGGCTCCCAACAGGTAAGACAGTATTAAGCTTATAAACCACTAGAACACTGTAGTTAATTATGACAAACAGTAGTATTATTAATTGAATTTTTCATAGTGGTGTAACCTTTGGAAAGTTTTGTGTTTTACTTTTCTTATCTGTAAAGTGGTCAGTAATGTGAAACTCTCTATTATTTTGTTCTCTAAGATGTTGTAAATAGACCAAATGCTCTATAAAACATTTTCTGTCCCTGTAAAATGAATAAAATATTAATATACAGTTAGATTATTATCTCTAGTGTATAACATTCAAGCATTTGTTTGTTATATTTGTTCACTATGTAGATAGTATTCCATTTTAATTTTCTATTTATTGGTGAAGAGATCTTTATCTTGGCAAACTAGATAATTTTTATAATTTGTTTCCAAAGGCTTGGGGAGTGAGATCTACTCTGCCTATGACTCCTTCCATTCCCTCTGGGCCTGTGCTGGTGGAGATAGAGAATCTTCCAAGGAGTCCTGGAACAGACCAGCATGACAGGAAATGGTTTGTTAACTCCTTAAACCAAAATAAAATATTGCTTGCTTAATGGTATTCTAAATTCCCAGCCATAATCTTAGATTCTTTAAATATGATTGAAAGCAAATTATTCATATTTGTTAGATGAAAAGAAGCATTTTATTGAGCAGTCATCACGGGATGGGGAAAATAAGAAATATGGATGACGAAGGGAGTGCAGTCTAAATGAAGAACATCAAACAGCTCTCCTTATTTTGGTTAGCATGATCTGGGAGTGGTGGGTGGTTCTCTGTTGAAAAAGACTTCAATGCCAGTCAATTGAACCTTTTCCCAGATCCCTAAGGAAAATATGTTTGTCACATGTTATTCCGCACAGCATGATGCTACTGCTTTGGGTGTGTTTTCTTCATTAAAGACTGAAGATAAAGCCAAAAGGGAAACATGATTATAGTCCAATAAAACAAAGCATGAAATACTCCATTTTTGGGGATGGAGAGAGAATCTGATGACAGGGAAGATTTTCATTTATTTAGATCTCCAGGGTCTTTTTTTAGATTAATAGTAAGTACACAAATATGGATACTTTGTGGCATATTGGGGTTAATCATTGGGGTTCATCCTTTCCCAAATAAATGGATGTGGCTTGAGGGGCTCCTTGGGAATTAATTATTTGATTGAATGATCATGTTGGTTGCATCATCTGTTCAAGTTTTGTGTCTATTTATGAAGTGAACTTTGATAATTCATAGGATTTTTCTCTTTTTCTCTTGCTCTTAGTTTGTTTAGTACCTGAAATCTAATGAGTTTCTGTGGTGATCTCAAGGTTTTGGTCAGCTTTCTGTCAACCGGTTCTTCCTTCATGGTGGTGGGTCAACAGTGGTTGGTGATTATTTTCAGTCTTTGCTATGTAATTGTTTTTCACTGTCATTTTGGCTTAACTAACTGCAAGGTGCGTTGCTTTTAATGGTTGGGCATATTTTTACTTCAGTTCCAAATGTCTTGACCAGTTTCTAAGAATGAGGGGATTTTTTTTCCTTTATCTTTTTTTCTCCTTTCTCCTTGGGAGTGTGGTGAGGGTACTGCGTGTATTTGTCCATGTGGGCACACACTGAAGTATAAACAGTGAGGCTTCTCAATGTCAAATTTTAGTCTTTATTTTTTTAAGCCATTAAAAAGAGTTTCTTGCATTTCTTACTGAAAACACAGCTCCAGGAAGCAGTTATGTTTTATCTCCTTGATGTTACCACCAAGTCCTGTTGGCAAGGAAACATAGTTTTGAGACTTCAACTGTGAAGAACTCCCTTCATACACATTACCTTTTATATTGATGTGGAATGAGAGTCTGGTTTGTTTGCATCCTGTGTTATGACACTAAATCTTTATTGAATTTTCCAATTTTAATGGGTACATGTTTATTTATTTATTTTTTTTTTTAAAGATTTTATTTATTTATTTTTTCCCCCCAAAGCCCCAGTAGATAGTTGCGTGTCATAGCTGCACATCCTTCTAGTTGCTGTATGTGGGACGCGGCCTCAGCATGGCCGGAGAAGCAGCGCGTCGGTGCGCGCCCGGGATCCGAACCCGGGTCGCCAGCAGTGGAGCGCGCCCACTTAACCACCAAGCCACGGGGCCAGCCCTAGGGTACATGTTTAAATCTATTTAATTTGATTCATTGGGCACTACTCAGGTCCTTTGCTGCAGCTTTTAGAAAGAGAGAATATTGAATCTGAGAGTATTGAATTTTTAAGAAAAATGAAAAATTTGGAGCTGTGTCCTTCCTTTATGTAATTGTGCTGAGATCTCCTTTGCTTAAGTGGAGTAAAATGGTGATCCTTAAAACGTAATGAGCCTCAGTGTGTCGACAGTGGCATGGAACTGAATATAGAACTGATGTGTCTTGGAGCTAATGGATTCCTCAGCCTTAATTTAAAATGCATTCTGCATTTCGTTCTTTGTTTCTGCCTGCTTTGATTCTTATTAATACTTTTAAATGAATATAAAACAGTCCTCCTTTAGAAAGTGATAAGTTAATAAAATTTGCGAATGCTCCCCAGGTTTGAACAATTGGGCAGGATAATGGAATATTCTATTGCTGGCAGATAACTTTTAACCAGTGTATTCTAAACATACTCCCTGTTCAATTCTTTAGCTTTTTCTCGCTAGTATCTTCTAAATGACACCATTATTTCAGTGAATAATTTGGTATATCGATAACTTAGAATTATCCAATATTTAAAGTATCACTTTTTGAGAAACACTGTGTGTATTTTAAATCCATAAACTATTTATAAACAACAGCAAAAACAAAACTGAATAATATTTGGAAAATCTTGCGTATATAGGGGAGAACATAAATTTAATTTAATTTCCTAAATTTTCAGAGACCCCATATTGAGGGTTGTGAATTTTATCGGTTAGATCTGATGAACAAATTATATTTCAGTTGAAGGAAAGATGATTTTATTGTAAAAAAGGCTTTCAAGTTTGTTCTGAAAAATCCTTTTAGCTAATTGCCTTTCAATTTCCCTAAGGAAGAAAGGTGAAGATTCATGTTTTAGTTGAGTTAGAAAAATACTATATTTAAAAATCTATCCTTAGACCTCTTTTGTAATTGGGGTGATTTTTTTTTTCTTTGTAGCTATCCTAAATATGTGCTGCCCTTTTTGCCATGTCACAAACCTTGATTTGTCTGAACCTTGGCAAATGTTTTCTTTCTACTGGAGGACTCCGATCATTTCTAACCACGAGCTGCTTGTATGCATGTTTCACACTCATAGTTCTCTAGGTCTATTCTATAGCACTGTGTGATAAAATGTATCTAATATGCTTATTAAACTATTTCTTGGAGAGGGCTTATAATCTCTTCACATTATCTGTACCTGCTGAATTTCATTCTGAGGTCTGATGAACTTCAGTTATAGAAGGGACAGTGATTTCCATTGTTAATCTGGAACACTGATGGAAAATTATATGGCCTCTGAGGGTAGTTTTTTTTTTTAGTGAGGAAGATCATCCCTGAGCTAACACCCATGCCAATCCTCCTCTTTTTGCTGAGGAAGACTGGCCCTGAGCTAACATCTATTGCCAATCCTCCTCCTTTTTTTCCCTTTTTCTCCCCAAAGCCCCAGTAGATAGTTGTGTGTCATAGTTGCACATCCTTCTAGTTGCTGTGTGTGGGACGCCGCCTCAGCATGGCCGGACAAGCGGTGCGTCAGTGTGCGCCCAGGATCCGAACCCGGGCCGCCAGTAGCGGAGCGTGCGCACGTAACGGCTAAGCCTCGGGGCTGGCCCCAAGGGTAGATTTTTTTTTAATTGCTCTCTCTGAATTTTGTTTTTTGGATTTCAGTTTTGTGTAATCACTTAATCTGGGGAATAATTTTCACAATTGCCCTTTTCTGTATGTGCCTTTGTCCTTATGTGAATTATCCTTTCAGACATTTAAATTAAGTAGATTATAAATATTTTTTCTTCTTATTAGAACCTCAAACAACATTTCTGCCTTTAATTTTGGTAGCAACATCAGGGACAGATAACAGTGTCTTACTCTCTGTGAAATTTCCTCTTTATTTAATTCACTTAACTGACTCTGACATGTATTTCCATATTGACATATTCCACTACATGTAACTTTTTGGATTCCTCTCCTTTGTTATTCTTGAATGTTATCATTGCATGGAGTAGATGTTGATAACTACTCATAGCAGTGGTGCATGCTAGTCGCATTTCCTTTCTCCTTTATTACCTCTTAAACATATCCATTTTCTCCTATTTCTATTGACTAACTGTCCTCCCCTCCCACTCCCCAACCATCCAGGCTCTCTGCTGCCAGTGACTGCTGTCAACGTGGTGGAAACCAGTGGAACACAAGGGCCTTGTCCCCACCCCAGCCTGCACGTAGAAACTACCCTGACTTTGTCCATGAGCACAATGTGAAGAATGCAGGAGTCCATCATGATGTTCATTTTCCCCACCGTGCAGCCATGACTGAGATATGAGTGTTAAGCCTCTTAGGCATTGGGACTCTGTCATGAAAGTTGATGGTATACAAGTTGATGGTATAATTTTCTAGTGTTTATAGAGGGTTAATCACATTAGGAGAATTTGGGAGAAGTTATTTTATGTTAAGTCACTAGTTGTGTAGTGTTGTCTGTAATTGAATTCTTCTCTGAAAGGGAAAAGGATGTGAAGAAGCTATATGCCGTCAGTGATAATGATAAATGTTTTTGTGTTGAAAAGGGTATGTATATCATTGTACTTTAGGAAAGGTTTTTCATAATTTAACACGTTAACACATCACTCAGAGGATGTCTCAGGAGAAGGTTTGTGTTTGTGAACAAGCGGCCCATTATCACCCCACCACCACGCCATCCCAATAGATTGAGGTTAAAAGAATCAGACACACTAAAAGCCCACTCAAAAGGAAGCATGTCCAGGCTTGATATGTCAGCCTTTGGTGATATTTTTATAAAACTACTCTTATACATTATTTTTAATACTTCTCAAGTCACCCATGTCTTAATTTCAGTTAAGTGCCTAAGATACTATAATGTAATTTTTAATTAAGAAAACTTTTACTTTTTAATAAACACATGTAATTTAATTTACCAAAAGATCTAGAAATCACATTAGTAGTGTGATTCATGTAGAAAGATAAATCTGAATGGTTACTTTGACATGATTAGTTAACCAATGGTTAACTGAATGATTACATTATTACTGAATGGTTGTACAAAATGGAAAATGTATTTATTTTTGTCTTTTCACTTTCTTCTCTTTCATCTCATACATCTGATAGATTTCTCAAGTTTGCAATAGCCTCATAATCTGGCCTTGTACAACCTTTAAAATAAAATTTTGAAGCCAAAACGATATCACTTTTAAAGATTTTATTTATTTATTTTTTCCCCCCAAAGCCCCAGTAGATAGTTGTATGTCATAGTTGCACATCCTTCTAGTTGCTGTATGTGGGACGTGGCCTCAGCATGGCCGGAGAAGCGGTGCGTCGGTGCGCGCCCGGGATCCGAACCCGGGCTGCCAGCAGCGGAGCGCTTGCACTTAACCGCCAAGCCACGGGGCCAGCCCAAAACGATATCACTTTTAAATTGATTGGATATATTACTATTTCTGGTCCTTTATGAACTTCAGAATGTAATATCTAAGCTCTTTGGTTTAATTCATAAAGAGAAATTAGCTGGAAAAAGTACATTTCTGATATAATGGGAACTGATGTAAGGGTAACATTTCTTTTGTCTTTTTATAGTTTTTTAAAATTTTAACAATTTCCAAGGTTTTAAACTGTGTAATGGTAATTTGAAGATATTTTATAGTCTGTGAATTCATAATACTTCAAGATAATAAAGCTTCATTATAGGCGGCTTAACCCATTTACTCTCCTGGTCACCTCAGAAGTCAGTCTTATTCTTCTCTGCTAGAGAAAGATGAAGGTTTCAGAGGGTTTTGTTACTGGACTGTTGGTTGCAAATGTAATACAGCTTGTTGATAGAAAACATAAGTAAGCAGAACTAAATAATATTTAAGGAATGAAATTTATAGGCAGGTTTCAATCTGTTAGTTTATCATAATCATATATAAGGGGACAAATGCTCAAAATATTCTTTAGCACATCCTGTAAATATGAACAGATCCCTATCGTAAACAGCTCAGCTCTCTACCTCTATGAGGCTGTCATCATTTAGCATGCTTAAAAATGCCCACTGATGTATGTCTCTCATAGTTGTTTTAGACTTTACATAGCTAAATTATAATTATCAACTATTGTTGATGGTGATTTCTTTCTTAAAGGAATTTGAATCATAACTTTTTTTTTTTTTGGTGAGGAAGATTGGCCCTCAGCTAACATCTGTTGCCAATCTTCCTCGTTTTGCTTGAGGAAGGTTGTCCCTGAGCTAACATCTGTGCCAATCTTCCTCTATTTTGTGTGTGGCACGCTGCCACAGCATGGCCTGATGAGCAGTGTGTGGGTCTGCGCCCGGAATCTGAACCTGTGAACACCTGGCCACCAAAGCGGAGCACACGAACTTAACCACGACAGCACTGGGCTGGCCCCTGAATCACAACATTTTAAGAAAAGAAACCTTGGTTTGTGCCATTCAAGAAAAGATTTCATGAGAGTGAATTTGATTAAGAACCTACTTTTTCTTGGGTCCGGCCTGGTGGTGCAAGCGGTTAAGTGTGCATGCTCCACTGTGGCAGCCCGGGGTTCGCCGGTTCGGATCCCCGGCACGCACCAATGCACTGCTTGTTAAGCCATGCTGTGGTGGTGTCCCTTATAAAGTAGAGGAAGATGGGCATGGATGTTATCCCAGGGCCAGTATTCCTCAGCAAAAAAGGGGAGGATTGGCATCGGATGTTAGCTCAGGGCTGGTCTTCCTCACCAAAAAAAAAAAAGAACCTACTATTTCTATAATAGAAACCGAAGAGGCATAATAATGACAAAGCCTTTCTGGTCTTAAAGAAAGTCCCGTGGTTGACTTCTCTCACTTTAAAAGTAATCTTGAAATCTAGAGGTCAGACTGCTGATAAAATGCTTCATATGTATCTTAGCAGAATCTTAACTTTGGGAAATACGGAGGGATTGTAGTTGAAGAGTAAGATCTTTAGTTTATCTTGAAAGTGGTCATTTCTAGACTTAGAATGAGTTAATCAGTACTGTTACATTTAAGTGATAGAAGAATCACGTCATGGTTTTTCTTTCTTTGAAAATCTTGTTATATGATAGTTATTTGTTATATAATCAAATTACAGATGATAGAAATTGAGTTGGAGGGGTGATGGGGCAAAAAGGAGATGGGGAAGTTAAGGGCTAAGACTGCATGGTAGTAGAACCAAACTCGTCTGTTTTATAGAAGTGCCTATATGGTCCTGGATTTCATATCAAATGTTGTGAATATTCTTGCTACTGATATTTTCAAGATGAGTATATATGTTTCCAGAGTTATGAAGAATTTACTAAGGTAGCTCAACCTAAATTAAATAAATTGTCACCAACCTATTTATACTCTGCATTTTATTATGCCTAAAGGGTCAGTGATCATCCATGCTAGATTAGGGAACTAATATCCTCCAGAAGCACCTGACTTGGTCACTATCCTTTTGATTAGAGGGGGGTATCAGCACAGAACTCCAGGATCATGTGATTCAATGTTACTGCCTTGGCTAATTTTATTTAGCATAATTAATTTTAACATCTTGAATTAGGTTCATTATGTTTCAACTGCATTTTTATAGACAGGGAAACTTGTAGAAACATGGCAAAGCTGGTGACTTTCACACATGAAAACAAATGAGTTCTTAAGATCATTATTTCTTTTGATAGTAAAACCACTTCAAAGGCATTTACCTATCTTTGAGTATAATGTAACATTTCTGACTTTGATAGGGTAGTCATAGATGTGCTTTTAAAGGAGTTTACAGAGAAAAACAGAACTTTGTCCTGCTGTGTATGTAATGTCTATATTTTAAAAAGCAACTAGTAAACAAACATTCTAGTATTGTATTATCAGCAGTATAATTCAAATAATCTTTTTTAAGGGGGGCTTTTTTACTTATTTAAAGTGCTGACCCAGAAAATGTTGTTATTTTTAACATGTGGGTGAATCTTTATTGTTAAAATTATCCAGGATGTAAAAGGTGCCGTCTAACAAGTCAGCATATAAGGCTGAAGTGTCTCCTGCATGGAGGAGGACAGGGAGGCAGCTTGTTTCATAGGAGAAAACAGTTAGCCGAGCCTTAATTGTGGTAGTTTCTCTTATTCTCTACATTTTTGTGTATTTACTTGGTTGATATGCTAATAATTATTTTGATTGGTAACCTTGCTTTATAACATTTATATGTCTTGATTTTGTGCATTTCATCTTTCCATCTTGCCAAAACAGGAAAATAGATGAAGAGGGTAAGGAGTGGAGGAGTATGGTGTTTTGCGGTTTCAGGAGGAGGAAGAGTATTGTGGAGATGACTGGCTTCACAGGCATAAGAAGACTAATCCTCAACTTGGATCCCTGTTACTTCCATATGTATTCATAGATGTAAACTGAAAATGTTGGGAGATGGTTGTCCCATGTTAGTGCAGCATGCTCTGATGGTGGGAGCAGTAATCGTTTGATAACGTGGTACTTGAACTCTTTTGGTTGGGGCATACTCTTCGTTTCTAAACCATAGTTCATTGCTTTGCAAGGCCATTTTTTGTATGTTAGGCTTTGAATATTGAGTTTGAAAATAATAATATCAAGTTGCATTAGTTTATTTTATATCCTTGGTATATAGGGCTTGTCATATGGATTTGCAAAAATAAAATCATCTTGTGCCGATAACCCTTAATGTTTTTACCACCACGTACTTCCTGCCTATATTTTGGTGTAAATTATAGCACATCCTCAATTGTACCTTGCTTCTCTTCTAGAGTTGTGAATGCTTGCATGTGAGATGCTTTTATGTAAGGGATGGAATTTGAAGGTCCCTCTGTGGTGGGGAAACCTTGTGTCTCTGCATGTCTCTCTCTGTGCCTCTGTCTCGTCTATAGAGTGTGATTTGTCACGTTCTTTCTGGACACTAGGAACCGTGTGAGTTTAGGTGTAGTGCTCTTCCTCAGCTTCCATATGTTGAAGAACATGAAAATTTCTCCTCCTCTGTTCATACGAATTAACTCTTACTTTAGTCACATGAAATCATTGTGAGAATTTTGTCTTGCTCAGTTGACGTTAACCTTGGTGGTTTAGGTATTAGGACAGGAAGCATGTCGCTGTCCGTGGAAAATGTGTAACTTCCTTCAGTTCTTGACCATTGCTGGTATGTAATACACTTGAGCTGCTTTGAGCTCTTTGGGCTGGTGGGGAGGATCATAGTGATGGCCTTTTTAGAGAATTAGTGAAGAGGAGGGAAAATTTCAAAAGAACTTGGTGAAAGGAAAGAAATGTTCTGTGGCTTATTTAATGATATATATATTTTTTATACTGAAGCAGAAGAACAAGTGTTCTTGTTTTTCATGAAGGAATTGTTCCCACAAATTTTTTATTATTAGATAATTACCTAAGCCTCTGTGTTCCTAACAACAAGCTGTGGCCTTAATTCTAGGTGATGGTGCTTGAATGAACTTTTTACATTTTGTCCCTGACAGCTGCCCAGCATTTTGTTTATATTGGCATGGAGAGGAGATATCTGATTTGGAGAACAGCATTCTCCAAGGAGTATGACTGAAGACTCCCTTAGTGGGGTAATAAACCTGCACCTCCTCCTCTTAAAACTGGTTCAACAGCTGCAGATCTTATTTTTTGTTGTTGAAAGAGTTCTTTATTTGTTTTGTTTTTAACTAATTTTAATAAAGAGAGAAGAAATGAGACATACCAGTGTATGGTTAGGATTTGTAAGAAGTTGCAGATTCCTTAGTAAAGGTCTACTGACCAATGACTGATTATTGTTAATATTAAATATTTTAAATTATTAGAGGTGGAATAAAAGAAAAGAATGAAAGATAAGAGATGATAATAGGAAGACAATTGCTGGCATAATTTGTCTTGTGGAACTAGTTAGAGGGAGTATCCAGAGAAATTATGGAAAATATCCCAGGATGTAAAACACTGCTAGAATATATACCATTACACAGAAGAGGTTCTTATAACAAAGCTACATTTGTAGCTTAGCCATTAGCTTTAGGGATTATTTAATTATAAGGTCTCCAAGAGTTTGGAGATAAGACCTATGTTTAACAACTGACATTTTTTTCCGAGAACACCATCAGCAAAACCTTTGGAAGCCTTTAGAAAGACCTGGAAAGATTTGAGTACTCTAGAATATCCAGGTTATCACTTTGATTGGAACTTCATAGATATGTTGGAGCAATAGCAGTTAAAA